ATCCAAATAGGAAAAGAAGAAGTCAAACTATCACTATTTGCAGATGATATGATAATATACATAGAGAACCCCAAAATCTCCACAGAAAAACTAATTCAACTCATCAATCAATTCAGTAAAGTGGCAGGATACAAAATCAACACGCAAAAGTCAGTAGCCTTCCTATACACAAACAATAAATCTGAAGAAGAAGAAATCAAAAAAACCACCCCTTTTATTATCGAAACAAAAAAAATCAAATATTTGGGATAAATCTAACAAAAGAGGTAAAGGACCTATACAAAGAAAACTATAAAACACTGTTAAAAGAAATAGAAGAAGACACAAAGAAATGGAAAGACATCCCCTGCTCATGGATTGGAAGAATAAACATTATTAAAATGGCCATCCTACCAAAAGCAATATACAGATTCAATGCTATTCCAATCAAAATCTCAATGGCATTCTTCAAAGAAATAGAACAATTATTGATGAAATTCATATGGAATCACCAAAAACCCCGAATAGCCAAAGCTCTACTGAAAAAAAAGAAGGAAATGGAGGCATCACACTCCCAGACTTCAAACTATACTACAAAGCCATAATCATCAAAACTGCATGGTATTGGAACAAGAACAGACATTCAGACCAATGGAATCGAATAGAAAATCCAGAAATAAACCCACAGATTTATGGTCAACTAATCTTTGACAAAGGAGCAAAGACTATGCATTGGAGCAAAGAAAGTTTGTTCAATAAATGGTGCTGGGAAAACTGGGTCGCTACATGCAAAAGAATGAAGCTTGACCACTACCTCACACCATACACAAAAATCAACTCAAAATGGATTAAAGAACTAGACATAAGACCTGAAACCATAAAATACATAGAAGGAAATATAGGCGAAACACTACGGGATTTGCACATCAAAGACATCTTTACAGACACATCACCCAAAGCAGTGATAGTGAAGAGAAAGATAAACAGCTGGGACTACATCAAATTAAAGAGCTTCTGCACAGCAAAAGAGACAATAACAAAAACAAAGAGAAACCCCACCAACTGGGAGAACATTTTTGCACCCAACACTAATGATAAAGGACTGATCACAAAAATCTGCAAAGAGCTGATGAGACTCAGCAACAACAAAGAAAATAATCCAGTCAAAAAATGGGCAGAAGAGCTAAAAAGAAACTTCTCTGAAGAGGAAATGCAAATGGCCAACAGACATATGAAAAAATGTTCAACATCACTTGTCATCAGGGAAATGCAAATCAAAACTACCATGAGATACCATCTCACACCAGTGAGAATGGCACATATTAAAAAAACTAGCAACAACAAATGTTGGCGAGGATGTGGAGAAAAAGGAACTCTTGTGCACTGTTGGTGGGAGTGCAAACTGGTCCAACCACTATGGAGAGCTGTGTGGAGATTTCTGGACCTACTAAACATAGAGCTTCCATATGATCCAGCAATTCCACTCCTAGGTATTTACCCAAAGGACACAGAAACATCAATTCCAAAGAGCACCTGCACTCCTATGTTTATAGCAGCACTGTTTACAATAGCTAAGCTTTGGAAACAACCCAAATGCCCAAAAATAGATGACTGGATCAAGAAGATGTGGTACATATATACCATGGAATATTACTCAGCATTCAAAAAAGATAAACACATGCAATTTGCAGCAACATGGATGGCACTGGAAGGGATCATGCTCAGCGAAATAAGCCAAAAAGAAAAAGATAAATACCGGATGGTCTCACTCATAGCAGGAATCTAGAAAACTTAAATAAGGGACCAGGAAAATGAATATAAGAAAGTGAAAATCAAAATCAACAAAAAACTATGAACCAGAGACACTTTTTGGGGGTGGGGGGCGGGAGGGGAGGATTGGGGTCAGAATGGGCGTTTGCAATTGTATGGGGAATATAAAAATAAAATTTAATATTTAAAAAAAAAAATAATAAAAATAAAAAAGTAAAAAAAAAAAAAAAAAAAAGATGTGATATAAGTCACCTGTTTACCTCTAGACAAGTTCCTTCCCTTTCTCTCTGATCTAGATATGATTGTGATTTTTCACACTATTAATGGCCTCGGCATTTAATTATTGATGCAGAGTTCTAAATATCGAATGAATTCTAAGAAATTTTATGATTTCTACTCATCCAGTGTCCCACACTGGGCAGAAAACTTACATTCTGGAATTTTAGCATTTCAGCAAGCACCTTTTATTAAATGTTTAATAAAGCAATATAAATGTTTCTTGCAAGATACTGTTAAGTCCAAGAGTTGCATACAGCTCAACAATAAAACAAAAAAGACAACCAACTCAATCGAAAATTGACAAGAGACCAATATAAACACTTCTCCAAAGAAGACCTTCAGAGGACCTGGAGACACAGGTGAAAAAGCTCAACATCACTTAGTACAAGGGCAATGCAAATTAAAACAATGAGATATTGTCTCACACCAGTGAGGTGACCTACTTCAAAAAGACTGGAAACAATTGATGATGAGGATATGGAGAAAAAGGAACTCTCATCCACTATCAGTGGGAACACAGTTTGGTGAAACCTTTATAGAAAACAGTATAGAGATTTCTTAGAAAATGATAATCAGCAATGCCACTGCTAGATATTTACCCAATGAAAAGTCAAATGAAAAAGATTTGTGCACTCTTCTGTCATAGCAGCAGTATCCATGATACCCAAGTTATGGAACTAACTAAATGACCAACAGCAGAAGACTAAATAAAGAAATTATAAAACATATACTCAATGTGATACTACTCAGCTATTAAAAATGATAAAATAATGCCCTTTGGGATACAATAGATGGATCTTGCAGCGATTATGGTGTTTAAGTCAGAAAGTGAAAGAGATACCACACAGTTGTGCCTATTTGTCGAATACAAATAACGAAGAAAACAAACTGGCAAAGCACAAGATTAGCTGCTGTGGAAAATATACTGGTTACCAGCGGGAATGAGGCAGAGGGCAGGGACTAGAGGAAAGGAGGAGGCAGGACAGGTGTGGGGCTTTTCTGGAGGGTGAGTGGGGTGTGTGTGAGTATGGAGTGTGAAGTTGTACTCCCAACATTACAGAGTTATGGAATGGACTGATAATTTTAAAAAAATGTTAAATATACTAGTGAAATAAAATAAAGTAAAACTGTGGTCTCTCGGTATTGTATCAATAATCAATGTGTAGGGCCTCCTCAGTGGTGCAGCGGTTGAGTGCTGGGTTGTGAAGCTGCCCGCAGCCTTTGCAGGGCCGGTTCGATCCCCGGCTGCTCCCCGGCCATCCAAGGAGGGTCCCACATGGCGCGCAGACCTCTCCTGCCGCCCACTGCTCCCCTCAGCAGTGTACTTCGGTCCTTCTGCCTGCTCTGCTCCCCGCTCTGGCTCTGGTGAATTCTCTCACCCTCCCTCGCTTCTGACTGTACCCAGTGCTTGTATAAATAAATAAAAATAAATCTTTAAAAAAAAAATCAATGTGTAATGTAAGGAGAACTTTAATTGTTCATGATGTAACCCCTAGTTTTAAATTGTCTTTTTTTAAAACTTGTTTCAAAACTTTTTCCCCAAAGTCAGGCTTTTTCCATATCAGTGCTCACCGGGACTGGGTAGGAGGTCCTGGGGCGAACTCCGAAGTGCAGACTTGGCTGCGTGCTGCAGGCTCCCAGCTGCACTGTGAAGCAGCTCGTGCATCACAGACGTGACTGAAGAGCAGTGAGATATGCAAGTTTTACAAGAGTCTGACACCCGCAGGGCCCTATTTCTGCAAACATAGTATCAGAGGTGCTGCTTCCACATGGTTAAGGGGGGAAAGAAGCCCAACAGAAGTTCCATCTGAGAAGAGCTGCAAGTATGACCAGCTGACTCTCTCGAAGAGAGCTTTAAATGGCAGAGACATCTCCAGGTCTGGACACGTGGATGAGAAGCACAGAGATTGAAGACAGCAAAGGGTAACCCAGAAGCCCGTTTTATGACGAGGTCCATTTTTTAAAAGAGAATTTGTGAAGTAGGAGGAAATATTTGACCTAAACCTTGAAAAAAAAAATGCAATTTTTGGGCTTCCCTTAGTGGCGCAGAGGTTGAGTGCTGGCCTGCAGCCTCTGCAGTGCCGGTTCGATCCCCGGCCGCCCGCGAGGGTCTCACATGGCGCACAGACCTCTCCTGCCGTGCCCGCTGCTCCCCTCAACAGTGTATTTCATCAGTCTGCCTGTTCTGTTCCCCGCTCTGGCTCTGGTGAATTCTCTCTCACCCTCCCACGCTTCTGACTGTACCCTGTGCTTGTATAAATAAATAAATCTTTTTAAAAAATGCAATTTTTGAAAAAGAAAAATTGAAAATACAAATCAGGCTTATATTTTTCAGTGGGGAAGAAATTATCACTGATCTGTTGATTTCCTGGATTTTCTGAGTAGGGAGTGACAAAAGTCTGGTAGCTGAAATAAAATGTCCTTTGTGTGTGCGTTGCTCACCTGTTCCCAGAAGGCCGGGTGTCTACAGTTCGAGGCTGGGGCCAAGACACTTGGTCCCTTTTCAGGTTCTCTTTTCCTCACCCTCCATGTTCTGAGTGCACTGTGTCCAGCCACGCTGGTCTTCTCTCTGTCCTTTGCTCTCTTCTCACTCCTACCTCAGGATTTTTGTGCCAATAGTTTTCCTCTACCTACATGACATTCTCCCTCACTAATGTATCAATCAGATGTCAAACTCTTAAAATGTATGGCAGCGTGGATGGAACTGTAGGGGGTTATGCTAAGCGAAGTTAGTCAGAAGGACAAAGATAAATACTGGATGGTTTCACTTACATGTGGAAAATAAAAGAACAAAACAAAGGGTCAGATAGAACCAAACCAATAAAAAAAAAAATGATAAATCTGACTGTAGAATTGAGACTACAGGATGGAGAGCAGGGTGGAGGGGCACAATGAACCATGGGGGAGAACCATGGGCACCTTGGTGGTTGGTGTCATGTTGTAACATACACCTGAAAAGGTGTGATCCTATATGTCTGAATCATGCATAGCGTTCTAAACAAATGCTACCTTGGTTAAAAAAAAAGGGGGGGGAGGTGAAAACAGAAAAATTAGATACAAAAGAAAAAGTTTTTTCCTCTATAATGTTCCCCCTCAGCCAACACCCTAGTTTCTATCAAATAAACAATTTTGTTGATGATATCACTGTCTAAAATTATCTTGCTAATTTTTGTTTGTTAATTATCTCCCCCTCACACACACACCCCAACCCCTAGCTCCACATGAGCAAAGTCTCCAGGTCTTGCTTGTTGCTTAACCGAGTCAGTATCCTGATAGGAAGCAGAGGAGTAACTGGAGGACATTTAACAAGAGATTCTTTACCAAGAGACCTCAGCATGACTTCTACTGCACACAGGTAGGGAAATATTTGGGGGGCCAGTAACAACAGGGCCTGCCATGGTCACTCCTGGGCCTGAAGAGCACACAGCATTGCTGGAACCCAAAGAATGGAGGGCTGTGTGGAGAGTACAGCCTGGCAGGGCAGGCCTGCAGTGGAGAGGCACAGCCGGCCTAGAGTCTCCCTTCAAAAGGGAGAAGGGAAAATAAATGTCTCAGCTTTCTCCATCTCTCAGCCTACCTGCTGAGGATCCTTTGAACTGAACCCAAAAGGAAGCCGGCCTTCTTTACAGATCAGTTTCTCAGGGTACACAGCAGGGAGGGCAGTGGATCTGCAAGGGAAAACAGAAGATAACCAGCAGGCAGCCAGATATCAGTGCTGACAACAGGGACTGACACAGAATAGATGCTTGATAAATAAGTGTGCCATCCACGAACAGTGCAAGGACTAAGTATTCAAAATTGAATGCAGTTTGATTTCAGAAAAAAAAAATTTTTTTCAGAAAAAAGTTTTTTTTTTTTTTTTTTTAGGGATGCACATTTTATTGGAAATCTTAAAATACTCTTCAGACAGAACACAATTTTTTTAATCAAGGCTCTCAGGTGGCCTGTAGAGAAAACCCAAATTTTATTTTATCTGACGATAGCCTTAAGCGAGAAGCAGACTAAAGACACCCACTCCCCAGGAAGCAGCAGGAAGCCAGACTAACTGGAATGCCTGCGACAAATGTTTGTTAGTGCCATGTATTAAAGAAACGACAAATGTAGCCAAAGATGCGGGAAAAGGAAACCTTTCCACACCCTTGGTGGGAAACTGGTGCAGCCATTATAGAAAATGGTATGGAGAGTCCTAAAAGCACTAAGAATCGAAATACCCTATGATCCAACTATTTTACTTCTGGGTACTTATCCAAAGACTATGACAACACTAATTTAAAAAGATATATGCACCCCAATATTCACTGTGGCACTATTACGATTATCAAGATTTAAAAACAACCTAAGTACCCACTGAAGGATGAAGGGAGTAAAGATGGGGCATATATAGACAGTGGAATACTATTTGGCTATTAAAAAGATGAAATTCTACCATGTATGACAACATGCAGGCGAATATTATGCTTCGTAAAATAAAACAAATGGAGAAAGACCAGTATGTGTGGTTTTACTCATGTGGAAGAAAAACAAAACAAACGATCAAACAAATCAAACTTAGATTGTGAGAACACAATGGGGTTACCAGAGCAGAAGAGTGGGAAGTGGGTAAGATGGGTAAAGAGGGTCATTGTATGGCGGTTCTGGAAACCACATTTTTGGTGGTATTGGTGACGTAGTATAGATAGACGTCAGAATATGCTTTATGCCTGACACTTATGTACATGTTATAAGCCAATGTTATTTCAATAGTTTTTTGGTTTTTGGTTGTTTTGTGGTTTTTTTTTGGTTTTTTTTTTTGTTTTTTTTTTTTAGTGAGATAATGAAAACCTAGCTGAGATAGATTGTGGGAATCAAAATTGGAGGAAGTCAAAGTACATACATTAGAGACTGGCACAGGCAGTTCCTCGGAGCTCTGTGGGCATCGGCAGGCGGCTTCCCAGTTCCCAGAGAGCTCACATATGCTGCCTCATTCAATCCTCCAAGTCTCCTGGCAGACAGCAAACAATGTCCTCATCCCACAGATGAGGAGAATTTGCCCTAGCAAAGCGCCTTGCTCAAGATATTACTGCTGCTGACAAACACACTCAAAACAAAGAGAAAGGAAAGTGGGGCATAAAAAAACTTTTAAAAGATGTGGGAGCTGAGGCTGAGGGAGCTTTAGGATAGACCCGATGTGATCAAAGTCTCAACAAACAGCCTATGTACTGCAGGTATTGCTTACTTTTGCGGGACTCTTAAACCACGTATATTAGATTGCAAACTGAAAATGAAATAAAGCAGATAATGTAAAAGAAGAAAAAGTCAGGAATCTGGATAATCTGCCTGAATAATACACAGTCTAGTGAGGGGACACCTAAATAGTCAAAATGCCACTAGAACTATTGCTTTCCTTTCTGCAACCTAAACCTTGGCCCCAGAATAGAAAGTACAGTACCAAAAAAGTCCATTTTAACTGACAGCAAGCTTCAGGAAATAGTGAGGAAACAGGGTTTTTACTTCCCAAACATTAATCTCTCCAGAGTGGAATTCTGAACTAGCAGAGGTTGAACAGTGAAACAGAAACCACAATTTCAACCACGTATGTTCATTCACCTTGTGATAATAGATTAAACCTCTTTCCTTAATATTTTACCATAAAGGCAGAATGTTATTTTCCACATGCTGGCTGTAAAGGAATGTAAGACAAGCTTGCTAGCAGAGTGGTTAGCCTTTATAGATGAGTTCTGGTTCTCCTGCCTGCCTCTTGGCAGACTTAATGAAACCGAGACAGAAAAACTGAACACAAGCTGTGTGGTACTGCTGGAGTTTCGAAAGCAGTGGTGGTGAGCCATTTTCTCAACATAATTAAAATATGATCTTCAGAGGAGCCTCAATAAATCCCTAATTTCTTGGCCCACACTTCCAGTGTAGATTCCAGTTTCAGTGCATTGGATTCATGGGCAAAAAGCATTTATGGCTTGAATTGAAAGACAATAAGAGTCTCCAAAAATAGCATTATTAAAATGCACTTTTTAAAAATCTGGTGGAAGCGATACCAGATGGGGTAGGGAGAGGATCCTGTACTTCCAAAATGCCAACAATAATGTAAGTCAATGTTATCTCAATTAAAAATTAAGTTACAAAATTTTAAGAACAACCCTGTCATTTCTCATCAATCGAAAGATAGTATATCACATCAACCAGAGTTTCAGGAATATTAGCAAATTTGTATTCTTTTTAGAAAATATTTTTCTTATAAATCCAGTCTGCACCACATTTGTCTTTATCAATTCTCAATAATGAACTGCATGAAAAATTAGGGTCAAGAATAAGAATAAAAAAATAAAAATCTGGAGGTAAATCCTGAAAACAATGCTTAAAATCTGTTTTTGAAGGATCCGATGAAAGTGTTTCCCCATGAGTAACGCAACCGCTGACCTGCATTATTTAAAGCGGGCTGTTGCAATTAATCTGAAATCCTTGCTCGGTTGCTCTCCCTGTAAGCTGAACAGCAATGGAATAAAACAACTGGAAAATGAACCCTCTCACTTTATTATTCACAAGCTGTGTTCCATAGTTGTTATTCATAGATAAGTTTCTTCTGAGACCAAAAACAATTAAGTGCCCAGAAACTTAATTCTGTAGAGTATGCAACAGAATTAAATAATCTACCCCAGAAATGAGCAAAGTCCTAATACTGACTTAGCTGCTCATTTTCTTTGTAATAGAGACTGAACCTTTTGTCCCTCTGTTTTCCAATCTACTAAATGAGAATGACTTGATGCACCACAGCACTCTGGACCTCAAGCGGGACTTGCCAGATGAACTGTGAACCCAGAAGACGGGCACCTGCTCTCTCTGTGCTGATATTAGAAACACAAGTGCCCCTGTTCCTGGGGTGGCTCATCTAACTGGCATGAGGACTCTGGAGTGGGCTTTGAAATGGAACAGGACTTAATATTAAATACCTCTACCAACTACCAGCTATGTGATTTGGAAAATGTACTTATTAATATATCCCTGGACTTCAATTTCTTCATCTAAAAAAGAGGATAATAACAGAGCACAGCTCACTGGGTGACAAGGAAGAGATTGGGAGAAAGTGTGCAAAGCATGTAGTTCGTAGGCACTCAGGAGAAAGCAAACACGTTATGGTGAAGGAGAGAGTTGGACTTTTAATGGGAACTTCATGTAGTCAACACACGCGGATATGCAGTGATGTTCACTTGGGTTAATGAGCCAAATGTACTGCTCCTCCTGAGTGACTTCTCTGTGGCTACAAACATTGACCTTCTGGGGAGTGGGGGAGAGAACTTTCCTCTCTATTCTCTGCACAGCACTAGCTCGCCCCCACACATCTCTTACGTCCTACTTCCTCTAAGAGTCCTGAGGTGGAGCAGAGGCATCTGGCAGACACCCCTCCATCCATGCCTGAGCATCCTTTGGGGTTTTGCCCATAAAAGAAAAGGAACAAGACAATAAACAATTGGAGACCTAAGCAGGAAAGTGGAAGGAAGTTGGAGAATTGAACGAAAACTAAAACCACCACTTCTGGTAGAAAACCAGGCCTCTCCCTTCCTATGGCTTCCCTGAGGGCCCTCATTTCTCTCATTTAAAATGTTCCATCAGGGCCTCCCCTGGTGGTGCAGCGGTTGAGCGCTGGGCTGTGAAGCTGCCTGCAGCCTCTGCAGCACTGGTTCGATCCCCGGCAGCTGGTGAGGGTCCCACATGGCACGCAGACCTCTCCTGCCGCGTCCACTGCTCCCCTCAGCAGTGTACTTCGTCAGTCTGCCTGTTCTGTTCCGCACTCTGGCTCTGGTGAATTCTCTCACCCTCCCATGCTCTGACTGTACCCAGTGCTTGTATAAACAAACAAACAAACAAATAAATGAATGAATGAATGAATGAATGAATAAATGAAATGTCCCATCAACCTTTGCCACTATAGTATAATTGTGTCTATTTGAAGTCGCCCTCCTATTTTTATTTCTTTTTGCCCTCTTACTCCCATTAAACGGTGAAGATTTTTAAGCCAGCTTACATTATTCAAGAAAAATGATGATCTAGAGTAATTTTTTGTTATGTTGCTGCAAAGTTGTTACTTTCTCTGCTAGAAGAATTACCAACCTTTCATTCTTTTTTAAGATTTATTTATTTATTTATACAAGCACTGGGTACAGTCAGAAGCACGGGAGGGTGAGAGAATTCACCAGAGCCAAAGCGGGGAGCAGAGCAGGCAGAAGGACCGAAGTACACTGCTGAGGGGAGCAGCGGGCGGCAGGAGAGGTCTGCACGCCATGTGGGACCCTTGCCCAGAGGCCGGGGATCGAACTGGCGCTGCAGAGGCTGCGGGCAGCTTCGCAGCCCAGCACTCAACCGCTGCACCACCAGGGGAGGCCCCCAACCTTTCATTCTTACCGTTTAAGTTACCCAAGTCTCTACCTCTCCATCTTTCAAGAACTCCCTTCCCCCTACAACCCACATCCACTCCTGGGACATCCTCACCACAACTTACATCTCTGCTTTACCAACTGCAACGCGACAGGCATCCTCTTTCCAGAATGCCAACTCCCCTCTACCTGCCAACCCCTCCTCCTGCACTCTTCTCCCAAGCCCTACTGATCCAGGGCAGTAGAACAGACCAGACCAGCTCTGAAAGCATAGGTCTAGAAGACACCACCAAAAACAGACCAAC